CTTACCACTATTCTAAGGAATTTGGTATAGTTTAGTATTTATTTTTTGTGTGTAAAACGACCCATCACAACCCAATCGTGATCCCTCTTCCCCAACCTCTCACCACCTCCTTCTTCTTCCCCCAATAGTAGTAGTGACACCCAGCCTCTTACCTCAACTTAGTCGCAACCCCCTTTTAGTCACAATCACTTTCTCCATCATCTACGTTCTTACAGCCTATTTTCTCCACTCCCAGTAGCTCTCTACTTCCTTCCTCAACAGTAGCAGGGACGACGACAACCCTCCTGCACCTCTTCCTTCTCTCTCTCTCTCTCTCTCTTCCTCTGGTCAAACAGGTAGATTGAGGAGATAGAACAAAAATTAGGAGCTAAAAGAGGACGATCTATTCAACAAATTGTTCTTTCATCTCTCTCTTTGTTATTCTTTTGATTGTCACTTTTTTGTTTGGTGATGGTGGGATGATAGTGGTAGATGAAGGAGGTTGGATGGAGGTGATGAATATGGTGGGTACGTGCAAAAGATAAGGTTGTGAGTTTGGTAGTCTGGGTGGTAGACGATACTGGGTTTGATGTGGTGGATGTGGATGGTGTTGATGTTGGGATTGGCTATGGATGATTTTGGTAGTGGAGGAAGGCAATGGTGGTAGATGATTGTGTTGTAGAGAGTCCAAGAGGAAGAAGATGGTGAAACAAGGAAATGTAGTGAAATGTCCATATTGTCCTTGAAAAAGGATCATGTGCGTCCCACGTGTTTATTTTTCGTCTACAACTTTAATCGGTGTTAACAATTTGACTAAAATGATACAAAATCAAAGATTGAGGAACAAAATTAAGCAAATTGAAAATACAGGGACCAAAGTGACACGGGAGATAAAATACATGGACTATTAGTGTGATTACCCTTATTTTTTATATAAAAAAAAAAAATTAATCGTTGTCTTCTCTAGGTTCTTCAAAAAGTTTAAGTGATTATCTCTTTATAAACATCTGGACAAAGTATAAAATTTAAAATTTTGGACAAAATATAACAAAACGAATTATTTTCCCGTGTCTAATATTAATTGGAAACTCTAACTTGCGGAAAGAGAAGAATGCGAATGAGAAATCTGAAAATTATTTGATCATATTTATTAATAAAGACATTGTTTGAAATTTTTATATTAATTTTGTCATAAATATTTTTAATAATATGAAAGAATATTGAACACAACTCAAGTTATCTTATTTATTTTTATAACTTATTATTGATCATATTTATTATCTCTTTTTATTTATTTTTATAACTTATTTTTTAACACTTAATATAAATAAATAAAAACAGAAAAACATGTTAATTTATATATGTGTTAAAATCGACATGAATTCATCCAGCCTACGTTTACAGGCCCACTAAATCCAGATTTCTTTCCTATAATAAAATGCATATAAATGAATAATGATACAATGAAAAATCTTATTGAAGAACAATTAATGCTACTCTTCTTATTATGTTACATAAATTATAGGAACTCACGTGTAGGTCTAACACGTAAATTTAGTGTTAAATAGATTCTATGAGAATTAATGATTTTTTTCATCAAGTACTATTAAAAAACATAACTAATCGTTAATTTTCTACGATAGTTTGAAAATTGTCACAAAAAATATTACTAATTATAAATTTTAGTGACAGTTTAAAAAAATATCAAAAAAATAATTATTAATTTTTGATAGTTTAAAAAATTTGTCACAAAAAAATCAATAATTGTAAGTTTTAGCAGCAAAAATCGTGACAAAAAAATCACCAATTATCAATTTTTAGCGACATGTAAAAAATTGTTACAACAAATTATTTTTAGCAACGATTTTATTAATAAGATTTTATGAGAATTAAATTTAACTATTAAGACGTATTAATAATTTATCTTAACATATATTTTACTTTTTCCAGGTAAATAGTATTTCATTGTTTATTTGGGGTTAAACCCATGTCTGATTATGGTTCACAAGTAAATTTAATAATTCAGAAAAAGGTACCAGAATTTTGTCTAGGAATTTTTTTTTTTTTTTTTGGTGAATAAGTCATAAATTAAAAGGACAAATAAATATAAACTATAAGAGGCATACCTCAGGAGCTAACCAACTATACAAGATACAGACAACAACAAACCAAAGCAACAAAAAAACAAAAACCTGTTCAAACACCACATGAGCAACAAGAGCAAATGAGGAACAAGAACAGGGCCAACACAAAACTACTCCATTGGAAATGCCTAAATATTACTAACACAATAAAGCCATGTACAAAGCCAACACAAGACCTGTGACTACAAAATAACCAATAGAACCTATCACAAATAAACTAATATATTAAAATTCAGATTGTAAAACAAACAACACAGCCTTCAGGATATCAGGAGACATCAGAAAAAGACATCAGCAAAAAGGTAGCAATAGCACACAGCAAACAGGCCACAATAGACAGACAGCACTAGCAGCAGGCAAGCTAACAACAAAGTAGCAGCAGCTGTCAGAACCACAGCAGTTGGCCTGTCAAAACTCCAAAACAGTATAAAAGACAATAGCAGTAGCACCCAGAGCTTCAACATTCAACAAATTAGGAGAAGATCTACCAAACTAGTCTACTTGTTCAAGGCCATCATTCAGTCAAATGATCCTAAGAGAGCCAAGCAAACACCAAATCCGTATGACAATTCAACAATAGTAAACTGCAAAAACTCACATGATACAGCTAACCTTCACTCAACACTCAAGTGCACTCAAACACTACACACAGCAGTTAACTATAAGGAATAAGAAACAACACCAAAAGATAAAAGACAATAAATTTTTTAGCCTAATAAGACAAAATGTCACATGCAATCCATAATCATTATATTTTTTCTCTCATAAAAAGTCAAAACAGCTAAAAAGTCTATCCCAAACGAGACTTTTTAGCCCCAGGCTAAAATAGTCAAAAGGTCAACTCACTTCCGAAACAAACTCTTATCGGGTTCATATATTTACATTGTGTTTGATTGGAGAATTTAAAAAAGGGATTTAGAAAGGAAAAAAAAAGTATACGAAACTAGGTGAAATGTAAATATATTTTATTCACATTTCACTTAACTTTTTTTTTTCTTTTTTTAGATCTCTTCTCAAATTTTCTAATCAAACATAGTGGAAATGAATCTGAATCACATATTGATAATGTTAAATAAAATTGTATGTAAATTAGGAGTATTCACTCAATCACATTTAAGAAGTTAGAGAAAGAAGAAATATCCCTATCTATTAGAAAAATCATGGAACTTATAAGCTTCGTACCTTTCTTAAACATAGTGCCTGTTTGGTGTAGCTTAAAAACTGCTTATTTCAGCTTTCAGCTTAATTTAAGCTATTTTGATGTGTTTGGTTTAGCTTATAACTTTTTGGAAGTCAGAAATCAGCTTATTCTTTGAGTGGGGCAGGAGATACTTAATTTATAAGTCAGAAATCAACTTATGTTTATAGTTATAAGCTATAAGCTATTTAGGCATAAGCTATAAGCTATTTAGGCATAAGCTATAAGCACTTTCCCACAGCTCTACCAAACAGGACCATAGCACAATAGGAACGCAGGTAAAAAATATAAAATATAAAAAATAAAAAATAAAAGAAGCCGCAGAAATTGAAATCAATGGCCAGGATTTACTCAAGATTTGGCCCTACAACATAAACTTTAAATACGCACTATCGACATATTTTCCATGGTAAAAATCTAGGATTGGGGATTTATGCTGTGGAGAATCCACAGGCGTGACTGCTGTGATGTAAAACGTTACCGTTTTAATATTATTTTTTTTTAATTAATGTGAGGGTTTATTAATTCTTCTCTCACTATAACAAACAAAACAATAAACCTAGGGCCGCCGCCGTCTAATCCGTAAGCAAAGGTTCTCTATTGACATGGATTAAAAGGTTAGTTTTTATTTTTTATTTTTTTATTTGTCTGCCAAAACATTTTTGTACAGGGCCGTCGCCGTCTTCACAGTAAGCAAAAGTCTCTGTTGACATGGTTTGAAAAGTTAGTTTTTATTTTTTATTTTTTTATTTTCTAATATTTTTGTCTTCTCTCAAACAGATTGAACAGTGTTTTCTATTTTTGCTTCACCGTTCTTCTGCTGGATTTACAGACCATTATTGTTCAACTAACTGGTATGTATATCTATATATATATTATATGTATATATGTTTTGTATTTTGTTTTGTACAGTATGTTAGTGGGTTGAACAAGTATAATAGTTTGGTTTGTTTTTTGTGAATGGATTGAGAAACACAATTGTATATTATAAGAAAATTTTTTTATTATGTAATTTGTTTTGTACATATTATGTATTTTTGTGTAAATATTATAAAAAAATTTTAAGGAGTTACGATAATTTGTAATTCATAATTATTTTTTTTATAGCAATGTTATGTATTTTTGTGGAAATATTACACATTTTTATAACAATGTTATTTATTTTTGTAATAATGTCACGCATTTTGTGGTCTAAAAAAAGTTTCAATAAAAAAATCTATAATCTTACTATAAAATGCGAATTTAATTTTTTAATCATAAATTGTTATAACTCAATAAATGATGACATAACATTTGTAACAAAAATACAAAACATATATCAAAAATTTATATAATAAGAGGGCATATGATTCACATCTTTAAGCGTGTCTGCCAAAAGATTCCCTATATTATATAATATACTAATTCTAATATAAATTTGCAATTGTATATTATAATCTACTCAGATACAATAAATTTCCAATGTTACTGTACAAATTTCACATCTTTTTTTTCCCTCTCCCCTATCCTTTTAATTAATTTACATTATTAATTGATTTATTAGATTTCATTGAATTGTTTAATTACTCAGCATTTAAAATTAATTAATAACTTTTTTGCTCAGATTCTTGTTGCGTTTAATATATATATATATATATATTTTCCCCATATTTGTTAGTGTTGAAATGAAGGATAGTATAATGGATGATAGTAGACTTGAGGGATGCATCGAAGAAATGGGAGAGTTGGCCAAGGATAAATCACCATACCTTGGTATGGAGTTTCCATCAGAAGAAGCTGCATATGAGTTTTATAATGAATACGGAAGAATTGTGGGGTTTAGTATTAGAAGAGATTATTGTAACAAAAGTCAGAAAGATGGTGTTATGACTAGCAGAAAGTTTGTTTGTTGTAAGGAGGGAGAGAGCGAAAAAGATAAACGGTACACGATGATAAAAAATCCTCGAAGTGAGACAAGAACAAATTGTAAAGCATTTATGCATATATCTTTTAAGCGGGACTTGTCGAAGTGGATTGTGTCGAAGTTTGATAGTAACCACAATCACCCTTTGCATCTTCCTCAATGTACTCATTTGATGCCATCTCAGAGAAAGGTATGTGATGCTCAGGGTATAAATATTGACATAGCTGATGAGAGTGGAATATCTCTTAAGGCTTCACATGATCTTATTAGTGCTATAGCAGGAGGGAAGGAATTTGTAGGGTTCACGCGAGAGGATCAGAAAACCTACTTACGTGCAAAAAGACAGCGAAACTTGCAATATGGTGAAGCAGGGAGTTTGTTAAGATATTTCCAGCAGCAAGTGGCAGAAAATCCATATTTTTACTATGCCATTCAGTTGGATGTAGATGAGATGATTACTAATATTTTTTGGGCTAATCATCAGATGATAACAGATTATGGGCTTTTCGGTGATGCGGTGTCATTCGACACAACTTTTCAAACAAATAAGGAGTACCATCCACTTGCTTTATTTTCTGGCTTTAACCACTTTAGAATGACAGTGATTTTTGGTGCAGCATTATTATATGATGAAACTACAGAGTCATTTGAATGGTTATTTGAAACATTTTTCGATGCAATGTCAGGAAAAAAACCTGTTAGTTTTTTCACAGATCAAGATCAAGCAATGGCTAAGGCAATTTCACAAATCATGCCTGAGGTTTTTCATGGGTTGTGCACTTTTCACCTAATGCAAAATGCTTTGAAGCATTTAGGTTACTTGTTCAAGAGTGATTCAAAATTTAGTAGCGATTTAAAAGCTTGCATTTATGACTACGAGAATGAGCATGAATTAATTGAAGCTTGGAATTCTTTGATTGATAAATACAACTTGCAAGAGAATGAGTGGATGAAAGGAACTTGGAGAAAAAGAGAGCAGTAGGCGCATGTGTATATGAAGTGGGTATTTACTGGAGGAATGCGAAGCACACAACTTAGTGAAAGTCTAAATGGAACATTAAGGGGATATTTGAAGGGTGATCATAACATTGTTCAATTCTTTACTCACTTCAATCGGATTGTTGTAGATAAGCGGTATGAGGAAATTTCTGCAATATATGATTCTAGACAAAAGTTGCCAAGAATGAAATTGAAAAAGTCTCCCATTTTAATCCAAGTTGCGAGTTTGTACACCCCTCCTATCTTTGATTTATTTCATTGTGAGTTGGATACGTCCCTTTGTTGTCAAGTAAAGCAATTCCATGAGTTAGAAGGAGAAGTTAAGTGCGTGATTGGCTTGTATGGTAATGGTGAAGAGTATATTGTGGAGGGTAGGGTGGAAGTTATTGGGCTAAGAGGAGAAAAAAGCTATCAAGAAATACATTGTACATGTAAGAAATTTGAGAACTTTGGAATAATCAAAGCACTTGATAGAATGAATGTTATGAAAATTCCCAAAAGGTATATATTAGGCCGATGGAGATTGGATGCAAAAGATTGTGAAGTTGAAGAGAAAAATGTTGTAGTGGATGAGGATGATCCGAAGTTGTTAATATTAGCACGTTATAGAGATCTTTGTCCAAGAATGGTGAAACTAGCAACTCAAGCATCTATGCACAAACCTGCCTATCAATTGGTTGATGAAGGAATTAAGGAATTGTGTGTAAAAGTAAATAATATGATGAAGGGAGTTGGAAGTTTTGGTACCAATGAATTAGAAGTGGACGACCCCAACTTTGCACAAGTTAAGGGCATAAAGAAGAAAGATGTTGGACACAAAGGGATGGGTAGATTAAAACCTTGGCATGAGATGATGAATAAGAAGACAAAAGTTATTTCACAACATACCCGCCTTAGTAAGGTGTTACCTACGTACTTTTGAAATTTCAAATGACATGCATTTATTTTTATAAATTGTGTAAAGTATTGATAACTTTTTGAATTTCTTTAGACTATTGGTCAATCAAGCAACACTATAAATGTTCAAAATTCATCCTCAAGCCAACAGCAGGTTAGCTATTGCTTTATGTTATTTATTTATTATTATTATTATTATTTATAAATTGTGTAATGTATTGATAAATTTAACAACTTATGTAGATTATTGGTCAATCAAGCAATATCACAAATGTTCAAAATTCATCTTTAAGTCAACCACAGATTAGCTCTTGTTTTATGTTATTTTGTTTATTTTTTAGACTATATTGTATTAGTGTATTTACTTTTCATGGTGTTTTATGGAGTAGGATGGTGGGAGTCTCTGTTGGCCACAATTGATAACTTATGGGTATAATCTTCTCACACATGATACTAATTCATACTCACCAAGGTATCCACAATCACAACCTTTGTCTTTCCAAGCATCACATAGTCCACAAAGTTCTCAAGTAAGTAATATATATATATATATATATGTTTGTAATGTAATTTAGTCCATAAAATTTATTCTAATGAATTTTCTTTCTTTTCTTTTTTTTTTTATTTATAGGGAATATCACTTAATCCAGTGGGGCACAATCCAATGAAGACCGAATTTAGAAATGAGAGTTCTTTTGATTTTTCTATTTATTCCCAACCGCCTCCAAAAAATTGACATGGGGATCCACTTTGTAGTTTTTGTTTTGAGGATTCAAATTGAAGGTTTTTAGAATTTTGTTTGGATAATTTAGAACGGTTGAGACAGATTTTGGGATATTTGGTAGGAGATTTTGAAGTTTAAATGTCTCAGAATTTTGTTTTATTTTTTTTATATAGATGTTGGATGTGAATTGAATATATTTTGGCCTTAAGTTGGTTTTTTTTTTTTTTTTGAAGTTACATTTTTTTTGCTTATGGTTTGATAAATTGATTTGTTCAAATACAATTTTTTTCCCTTTTAATTTCACTTTTGATGCATTTAAGTTAGTTTTGAAAAAGTCAAAACATGTATGGTTTGTTTGATTTTAATTTTAAAATTAATCTTTTAAAAAAAATATAATTTGGTTTCATAAATTGATTTGTTCCATGAATTATTTTTATTTTATTATATTTTCTATTTATAAAATAAATTTTTTTAACACAAACTCACTCCCTTCAACTTTACAGGACCGCGGGACCCAGAAGATGGCTCCGTCCTTATTGGGTTTATTGTTTTGTTTTGTTATAGTGAAAGAATTAATGAAGAATTAATAAACCCTCAAATTAATTAAAAAAAAAAACATTAAAACGGTGACATTTTGCGTCACAGTAGTCACGGCTGTGGATTCTCCACAGCAGGGACCCCTCCTCCGTTGTAGGGGTGGATGTTTTAAGGGGGTCTAAATCAATGCCCAATAAATAATTATTGGTCATGCACTTGTAATAAATACAGTTAGTTTTATTAAAGTGTTAAAAAGAATTCATAATTTATTATTTATTCTCACAATTGTTAATGCTAATCATAAATGTTTTTAATGCTTTTTTAACGACTATTTTAACCTTAATTTTTTTGTTAAAAGATTATTATTATTATTATTATTTTATTTTGTGATTCATTTTTCTATTACACTTCTATGAAATCAATGTTTGATTTTTTGATTTTTTTTTTGAACAATAGATATATAATGTATTTTAAATTATAACTCGTGATATGCATGATATTAAGAAAATAAATATTTCAAATAATAATTAATCTTGTTGAAAAATAAACGAACAAAATTTCTAATCTTAAAAAAAATAAAAACAAAAATTCGTTCTTTTTCATCCAAAATTAATGTAAATTAGGAGTATTCACTCAATCACATTTAAGAAGTTAGAGAAAGAAGAAATATCACTGTCTATTAGAAAAATCATGGAACTTATAAGCTTCGTACCTTTCTTAAACATAGCACAATAGGAACGCAGGAAAAAAATATAAAAAATTAAAAATAAAAGAAGCCGCAGAAATTGAATACGCACTATCGAGAATTGGCCCTACAACATAAACTTTAAATACGCACTATCGACATATTTTCCATGGTAAAAATCTGAGACATTTTCTGTTCTGGTAGACTTTTCCTTTATCACCAAAGGTGAAAATTGGATCAATCTAAGGAATGACCACTCCTATCAGCTAATTGTAAAATAAATTTTGCACTTGTCAAGTCACTGTTTTTCAACGAAATAATACCAAAGATAGTAATGCTCCATTTAGGTGAGAAATATTTTTTTAGAAAATATTTTTTTTTATATTTTTTGGTATTTGATATAGTGAAAAATAAAAATCAATCGAAAACAAGTCTATTTTGACAGAAAATGTTTTTAACGGGCAAAAAGCGTTTTTTAAATTAAAATTTTATCGACGCACCACACGATCCCACCATCACTATGGCCACCATCGCCATCACCGCTGCCACCACTATCAACATAAAAAAAAAATATTTTTTCTAAAATAAAATTTTCGTAAAAAATGTTTTCGCCCAAATAAATAGAACGTAAGTTTAATCATCTGGAACAATAGTCGCAGATGACCCGAGGGCGATGTCAAACCAGGCCTTAACGAAGGCAGCATACGCGACTCCATCGGCGATCTTGTGAGACATACGCACACAAAGTGCCATTCCACCGCATGGAAAGAAGTTAAGTTGAACGAATAACAGAGGGTTCTTGTTAAAGTCTTCGGGGACGGGTTCAAATAAACGGTACATTTCTTCGGCTTTGGGTTGTTCAAGAATGTCTGAGAGACGACAGTGGGTGACTCGAGCTTCCAAATAATCAACACCCTCGTCGTTACAATCGATAAAGAGATTGTCTCTCAGTCTTCCGGCAAGTGGGTAGAAGCGAGTGAGGGTTTCAGAGAGAGTTTCCTTTAAGCGTTGGGATCTTATGCTAACCATCTCTTCGTGATTCACATCACGAGTAGGGTTGGCATTGAAGAAAACAGCTAGGATGTAATGATGGGGAGAGTATTGATCCCTAGAACAGAGCTTGTAAATTCTAAATTGATTGGGAGTGGGAGAAGATGGCTTGATGATTTCTCTAGCTAATATCTCAACCTTCATCTCCATGCTTGTGTCTATATTTTTCTTTGCTATAAACGCTGCAAGAATGGAGACTATATATATGAACTGAGAAAGTTATTTTCTCATTACACGTGAGCCATGCCTCACAACTTTAACTGTGGATTTTTTATTTATTTATTTTTATTATCACACATTCCAAATACTACACTTTAAACCTTTAAGTTTAATTTTATTAATTTAAGCTCTACATTTTTATAAGAACCATATATTTGGGTCTGTGAGGTCCATTATGAGTATTATCTCAATAATTTAAATAAAAGTAATACTAGAAACTCATATTTTAGATTCACAAATTCACCAATAATAATGTAGTAAAAAAAGTAGGTCTTATATTATTGAGTATATAACTAATCAAAAGTTGATCACATCTTTCGATATATTGATCATTCGATATATTGATCACATCTTTCCCCAAAACTGGGTAGAAAAGGGAACTAAGATGAATGGTGGTTGGATTCCTGTGATCAGAAGGAGGGTGGTAGGAAATCAAGATGGTTATTGCAAGAAGACAGAGGTGATTACCATTTTTGTGGACAACATCCCTGAGTCCATGGATGCTAAAGGATTATTCAGTCTTTTTAGAAAGTTTGGCGTGGTCAAGGATGCGTTCATACCAGGGAAGAGGAGAAGAGTTTTAGGTTCCAGATTTTATTTTGTGCAATATGATTGTGAAGTGGCGGCAGAGATGGCGATTGAGAAGGGTGATGGTTTGTGGTGTGATAACAAGGCGCTGAAAGTTAAAAAAGCAGAGTTTCAAAAACTTCATGCTCTGGGTCATTGAGAGAAGGGGATGCTAAATAGAGGGAATGAAGGCAGAGTGATGCATCAGTGGCCTCAAAGGCAGCAATGACAGGATAATGGGATTAAGCAGTCATATGCAGAAGCATTAGTGAGAGGAGGAGTACGTGACAGTGGGAAGGTGGTGATCAGAGCTTATAAAGAAGGAAACGAATGGCTTTACGAAAGTTTAGTGGTGAAGTTGAATAGCTTCTTAGTTGTGGAAGTGTTCAAAGCAGAACTACATAACAGAGGAATGAGGGATGTTATTGTTAGGGACAATAGAGGAAGAATAGTAGTGATAACTTTTAATTCTGTTCAACAGATGAAGGAAGGGAAGGAACAAGTAGATAAGTGGGGTAAGAAGTGGTGTGATTCAGTTGATGAGTGGGGGAAGAGCCAGTTTGAGGAGCAAGAGAGATGTGTCTAGTTAAATTGCTTTGGCATACCAATTAATCTTTGGACTGTGACGACTTTTAGAAGCATTGGCAGCTATTGGGGGACTATTGTTCAATTCCAAGAGGATATTACTAGCCCACAAAATTTCCACCATGGAAGAGTACAAGTAATCACAAGATGTATGGAGTTGATTAATTCGGTAGTCTTTTTGGAATTCAAAGGTAAATCTATACCAGTAAGGATCTGTGAAGAACTACCAAAGTGTTTGTTTCCTACTTCCAATGAAAGCCGAGTGAAGGAGATGATGCAGTTGAAATCTAAAGGTTGTGAGACTGTGGAGGTGGATCAGGTGTCTGGCAATGGTGGGACGACAAGGTGTGATTACAGAGGTATTGTAGCAAGGGAGAAGGAGGTGGTTGGTGAAGATGATGAGGTCAGCAGGGTTCAGGAAACAGTGGCTGGTAGATCAGATGTGACACGTAGGGGTTATGATGGGAAGTATGAACCAGATGAAGCTATGGTGGGTATGGGAAAGGGTAAGGTAGGCGCTGGGTCCAAAGAAGAGGGTATGAATCAGGAAGTCAATTCACAGCAGATAATGATGACCAAAATTCAAAAATTGGATGGGGTTGTTGACAATACTGGACTTGCAAGTGCAGTGAATGGGCCGGAGGGGGTCACACCAAATATAAATTTGGAAGTAATTCTTGAAGGCCAGCAGGTTGGGCCTCAGCCTAGCAGATTACAAGTTGGGTTAGGCTCGGATTTGAGTGACTGTGTGGCCTAAACACAACTCAGACCATCTGAGGCCGATGTCTCCCATTTATCACATTCCATTATGGTTAAAAGGGCTGGGAAAAATTCAAAGAACAAGGCAGCAGTTGGTATTAAAGGTAATATATCACGGCAGAAGGGCATAGGGATAAAGAAAGGCTCCTGCTCTGTAGGCGGCCTTAGCAAACAAAGAAACATGGTTGGAAGGCTTGGTTTTCAAAGAAGGGCACTATTCAGAGCTTCAGCATTAGCAACTGCAGCTGCTACTTCTTTGTCATCGTCTCAGAGTCATGCAACACAAAGGAGGAAAAATTTAATGGAGGAAGCACAAGCAACAGTGAAGAGGATGAGCTAGTCAACAAGATAGTGGAACTTGAAGAAAGTGATTTACAAGGAATTACAGGTGAGGAAGGGGCAGTCAGACCTTAACAGGTTGTTAAGTAGGGGACTAAGGAGAAAATATAAGTTTATTATGCAGATTTTATCTTCGAATGCTAGAGGGCTGAGAAGGTCACAAAAAAGGGGCAAAATAAAGAATTTGGTGAAGGATAGAAGAGTGGATGTCTTACTTTTACATGAAACCAAAAGGAATTCAATGGAGGAGCATTTTATGAGATCCATGTGGCCTTTTGAAGAGATAGGTTATATGATGGTGGATTCAGAAGGAAGTGCAGGAGGGTTGCTATGTATTTGGAGGCCACAAGTGTTTGAGCTAAAAGACTGCTGCAGTAGTAAGCACTTCATTCTACTCTCAAGTACCTTGGCTCAACATTTTGATTGTGTGATTGTTAATATATATGCTCCAAATGAGGTGTTGGGGAGGAAGAAGCTATGGGATTCCCTTGTGTGCTTACAACCCCATTTTCCAAATCCATGGTGTGTGGGTGGTGATTTTAACAAAATCAGATTATTGAGTGAGAGGAAAGGGTGTTCAAGAAGAGAGAGGGGGATGAAGGAGTTCAATGAGTTTGTGGAACAGTTGGAGTTGTCTGATTTGCCTATGTTAGGCAGAAAATTTACTTGGTGTAATGCATTGGAAGGGGATAGGTGGAGTAGGATAGATCGTTTTTTATTAGACTCCCTTTGGATGGAAATTTTTTCATTTAATCAATGGGGATTACCTAGAACAATTTCAGACCATTCTCCAATTTTGTTGAAGGAAGATGATAGGGATTGGGGTCCTAAGCCATTCAAATTCATTAATGCTTGGACATCATACCCTACATTCTTGACTGAAATCAAGCACATTTGGGAGGTCGCACAGGTTTCAGGATGGGCAGGGTACAGATTAATGAGGAAGCTATCCTCCTTACGGGGTCACTTAAGGGTATGGAATAGGGAGGTGTTTAGTAATATTGATACTATGTTGAGGTCAGTAGAACAAGAACTACATGAATGGGATTTGAAGGCAGAAATTAGATCTCTGGATATGCTGGAAACAATAAGAAGGAGAGAGGTTAGAAGTCAGGTATGGAAGCTTAGTAGGGATAAGGAAAGAATATGGCATTAAAAGTCTAGATTGCTGTGGGCTAGGTGTGGTGACAGAAATACTAGATTTTTCCATCTTATGGCAACTAGTAGGCAGAGAGTCAACTTGATAGATTTTGTGACAGTATGGGGAGTGAGACATGAGGATCCAACTCAGGTGAAACAAGCAGTGCTTAGTCATTTCAGAAACCATTTTGCTGAAAGTTGGACTTCTAGGCCACAAATTTCTGGACCTTTTGTTACAATTTCTCCGGAGGTAGCAGTGGGTTTAGAAGCAATGTTTACTGAAGAAGAGATCTGGGCAGCTATTCAGGATTGTGATGGGAACAAGGCTCCTGGCCTAGATGGTTTTAACTTAGCTTGCATTAAAAAATGTTGGGAAATAATGAAAGGTGATATATTACAGATGATGTATGAGTTTCACACAAATGGGAAGCTGGCAAGGGGTGTTAACAGTTCTTTCATGGTGCTCATACCCAAGAAGAACAATCCCATAGGCTTGGGGGACTATAGACCCATCAGCTTGGTTACCTCGGTGTACAAGATTTTGGCCAAGGTGTTATCTAGAAGATTAAAGAAGGCCCTTCCCTCTATGATAGATGAAGTGCAGTAAGCTTTTGTCAGTGGTAGATATATCTTAGATGGGGTGTTAATAGCAAATGAAGTTGTGGATTGGTGGAAAAAGTCTAAGAAGAAAGGCATTATCTTAAAATTGGATTTTGAGAAAGCCTATGATTCAATAAATTGGGAATTCTTGTTAGCAATGGTGAGAAATTTTGGATTTGGTGTCAAATGGATTAGGTGGATGAAAGCTTGTATCTCTACAACTATGGTGTCAGTTCTTGTCAATGGTGCACCTACAGAGGAGTTCCAGCCACAAAAGGGGTTAAGGCAAGGGGATCCCCTTTCTCCATTCTTGTTCATTATTGCTGCAGAAGGGCTTAATTTGCTACTTGCTAGGGCTAAAGTACTGGGTTTATGTAGGGGTTCTACTGTTGGTTCCAATGATGTGAGTGTTTCACATCTCCAATTTGCTAATGATACTATTATATTCCGTGAAAGGGGATATTGAGGATATTTCGAATATTAAGAGGGCGTTGAGATGTTTTGAAGTGATGTATGGGTTAAGAATTAATTATCATAAAAGTATAGTGTGTGGTGTGGGCTTTCAAGAAGATCAATCTAAGGAGTTTGCTAGGGTTTTGAATTGCTTAACTAAGAAATTACTCTTTTTTTTCCTTGGTCTCCCTTTAGGGGCTAATCCTAGGAAACAGAGTGCTTGGGACCCAGTTGTGCAGAAGGTCAAAAAAAGCTGGCCTCTTGGAAGAAGAAGCTTCTTTCCTATGCTGGGAGATTGACCTTGATCAAGTCAGTCCTTGCTAATTTGCCAATCTATTTTCTTTCTCTCTTTAGAATGCCTGAGGGTGTTGTTAAAGCCTTAGTCAAGTTGAAGTCATCTTTTTTGTGGGGAGGGAATGTTAATAAAAGGAAAGTGCACTTGGTCAAATGGAAGGAGATCACAAGTAGTAAAAGTCAAGGAGGTTTGGGTGTGAGAGGCTTAGGAGAGGTGAATGAATGCTTGCTATTGAAGTGGTGGTGGAGGTACGGTAATGAAGATTCAGCTTTATGGAAAACTGTGGTTTGTTCAAGGTATGATAGGAATGGAGGAGGTTGGCTTCCAGATCTGAACTCTTCAGGTGGGATGTCCATAGTCTGGTTGGACATTGTGAAATTGCTCTCAGAAAATCAGCAATTGGGGGATTTCTATGGTAAGCATTTTAGAATTAAGGTTGGAAATGGAAGGAGAATCATGTTTTGGCAGGATAAATGGCTTAACAATAGTGACCTGAAGATTCAATTCCCTAGGCTTATAGTCTATCCACTGAGAAAGAGGAGAACCTTCAGCAAAACAGTGCTAAGAAGAGTAATATGGGGCTGTGGCAGCTTAAATTTAGAAGGCAGTTATTTGTATGGGAAGCTGAGGAGCTGTAGAGATTGATGGAGTTGTTGGATACATCTACAGTTTTGAGGTTTGATTGTGTTGACTCTTCCTTTTGGTTAGCAAATAGTTCAGGCCTTTTTTCTGTCTCTTCGGGGAGAAGATGGTGGGATACTCAAATAGGGACTGGTCAGGTTGTGCCTAAAGGGGTATGGGTCGGTTTAGCTCCGCCAAAAATGCAGTTCTTTTGTTGGTTGGCTTGGAGAGGCAGAATAAAGACTGCAACCTTCCTTCAGAGGATTGGGGTGCTACCTGTTTCAGCAAATAATATGTGTGTGTTTTGCCAAGCTGAGGTGGAATCCTTGAATCATGTGCTTATGTTTTGTCTACTGGTGTGGAAATGTTGGTCTCAAATGATAAGTTGGAGTGGTCAGGTTTGGGCAATCCCTGGATCAGTTAAGGACTTGTTACAGTGGTGGTCTGCTGGTAAGAGTAAGCGTTGGGTCTCTAGATTATGGGAGATAGTTCTAGCTGTTATGTTATGGTCAGTTTGGAGATTGCGAAATGAATGTATGTTCAAAGGGGTACAACCCATTTTTGATAATTTTTGTGATAAAGTGAAGGTACAGGTTGCTCTGTGGGTAAAATGGAGTTTGGAGGTTGAATATTCAGTTGATGATATTGTTTGCAATTTCAATCAGATCAGGTTGTCTGTTCAGACCCTTTGCAATTCTGCTTCAGGTCCTCTGCTGTAGGGTGCCTGATTCAGCTGCTTCAATGTGTGAATGGTCTGGTCTGGTCTGGTTTGATTCTGCTTCAGGTCCTCTTTTATGCTGATTGTTGTTGCTGCTTTGATTCTGCTTTGGTGGAAGTCTGTTACTAGGTTGATCTTCTGCTGCTCTGCATCTGATATGGTCTGCTGATTTGTGGATGCTTCAATGGGATGAAGGTCAATGTGTTAGGTGGTTATTTAGGCTGTATACTGATCTGCAGTGCTGCTCCAATTTCTACTGCTGGTTTAGCTTGGTTCTAATCAGTTTTGGTTCTTGGAGTCTTCATTCAGGAAATGTGCTGATGAGGGCAGAGGTGTAGTCATTTGGATGCAGGGGAGCTGTGCCAAGTGTTGTGTAGTCTGGGGTCTTGGTGACTTCTTTCAGTAAGGACTGCAACTGGTTTTTTGGGTGGTTTGCTGCTAGGTAGCTTCTTTTTGGTCTATATCTGAGTTGGTCTGCTGCTAGTGGCTGATTTGCATCTGGTTGGTCTATTTTAGTAGCTAGGAGGTTGGAGCATGTCTATCTGCTGCTGATTTTGAAAATTAATTATGAAGTGTTGAAATTGATCTGCTACTGTTTGTCTATCTGTTGCTGCTGTTGCCTATTTGTCATTTAGGTGTTGCTTATGCTTTGTTTTGTGTTGTTGGTTTCTCACCAACTTGGAGGTTGGAGCTTTTTCTAGCTCCAAGCTCCTCTTTATTGATATTGTGCCTTTCATATGTAATTTATATATGGTTCATCAATAAAGATTTCTTTTGCCGATCAAAAAAAAAAAATGTATGATCTAAATTCATCTATGCACAGATTTTACAGCGCACCATCTCAACCACACCTCAAAATTCTTGGCAAATTATTTATTTAATTTTTTGGAGCACTGGTTTTATTGAAAGAGCAAACGTGGGAATCTTTTCTATATGAACTCTAATAGGATTTGACTTTTAATTATTTTTCACCACAAGAAAAACAAAGAGCCAAACAGCAAAATAAGAATGTTTCTGGAAGCCATAAGATCTCATAATTGATCTGAAGATTTTAATTTATGCATGTTATTGAGTATCATTAATAAACTCTTTTTTTTTTTTTTTTTTATCAACAAAAAAAGACTTTATTGATGGAAAGATTATGTACAAACATAAGATCATACACTAATAAAAATGAGTGGATATCATGAAAAAATTAAACCATCTCAACTAGGTTAATATTACGTAACTTACCCAATCATATATCAGCATACCACCATGTAGGTGGTGAGACACCAACCAACAAGAAGGAAAGCAAACAAAAGCAAAGGGGGGAAGCACAGTGAAACAATCATGGCCTCATAGTAACACCCAACAAGCACTGCCCAGTAAAGAATAACATTAGCACTCTGCCACCAATGCAAACTCTAATTTGCTTCATGTTTAAAATGAGGTCATTGATTAAAAAATGAGCTAATTTAGGGGATGACTTCACCCAAATTGCAACTCTAGTCTTCTTGACCAACTCAATCACTTCATCATGGCAAGGATTTTAGTCTTTAAATAAACGCTCATTTCTGATTAATGTGAGTAACATTAATAAACCTTAATGCTATGTGAATGGAAAAAATCACAAAAGAAAATTATAAGTGATTCAAATTTATTTCCGATTGATTTTTCTGTATACACCATAATGTTTTGCAGGTTGCGATAATAACATGTTTAATCATTTATTAGAAAAAAAATCTTTACAATGTATGAAAGTACGAGGGACTGAAAATTAGATCAATAATTGATTAATATTTTAGTTAGTAAGAGAGAGAAATGAATTTTTTTTGGAGCAATAAATGTTAGTTATTAATTATTAGATTAGCACATATAAGAGAAAATCTCTTCACCTTTGACAAAGCACTAAAGTACTTGCGCTCCCTTAATTTATTCTCTTAAGAGGAATTAAACCCATGACTTCCTTAAGACTAAGTCTTAAAAAAAATATAATGATCAATTAAGTTAGGTCTAGTTGGTTAGAGAGAGAAATGAAATGACAGGCAGTCAAAGCAGAAAACTCCAAACTCCATAATGCAGGGGGCTTATCCTCCAGTTTGCACCCTCCGACTTGTTTAGCATATCCCAGATTTCCAATCCACTCTGCTCACATGGCTGTCTCTATAATTTTTCCAACAATATTTCCAAAATAAATAAATAAACAAAACAGATATTCTCGTAAATCAATTTTATTATGAGTATATCCATATTATATCAAGTTTAAATTTATACCATATATTTAATTTTTAATTATTTTAATGAGTAATTTTTTTTTTTTAATTGCATAGCAATTTTATTATCATTT